CTCTCTCTCTCTCTCTCTCTGGTTTTTCAAGACAGGGTTTCTCTTTGTAGCTTTGCACCTTTCCTGGAACTCGCTTTGGAGACCGGAGATCCACCTGCCTCTGCCTCCCGAGTGCTGGGATTAAAGGCATGCGCCACTACCGCCCAGCCCGTATATCTCTTTTGAAAGAAAATAGAGCATACCAGGAACTGTGGTACTTGTGTGGTGAGTTACATATGTTGTGAGATGCAGTCTAATCAGATATAGTAGGGCTATTGGCCTATGAATTGCCAGACTAAACCTATAGAGCCCAGTTAAGTTTTTATTTCAGTTAGAAACAATGTTATTTATTATACTGCTAATATTGTTGTACACTATAAAAATTATCTGTTGTTAATCTGAAATCCAAACATAACTGGATTTTCTGTATTTTTGCTTTATCAAATGGCAATTATAGAGGACAGGCTAGGGAAGCAAAGAGGCTTGTTTTTCACAGTAGTTAGGTGAAAACACCCACTACTGGTCAGTGCTTATTGGGGAGGGCTGCAATAGGGCTGTAGGCTGTAAACAGAATCAGCGGGAAGCCTGCAGAACCAGGCTGGAAAGGCCAAGGTCAAGAGGGCCTGGGTGTCAATGGCACACAGCCAAGGCCATGCTAGGGAAGGGCCTGGTTTGGGAGGTGCCTCTGCAGTCATGGTCTCTTTTTATTTCTGCTATGGCTCTCAGTTCTGCTGCCAACAAAATATCTCCTGGGCTTGGCACCTCCGAACTATTCCTTCAAGGTTAACAGTTTCCAGAAAGGAGCATCTGAGATGCTTGCCTGGGCCTTCACTCAAGAGTCCCGTAGTTCCCAAGGAGGGGGAGTTGACCTCTGTATTCTACCAAGACCTAAACAGTTGAAAACGATTTCCCAAATAGGAAAGAATTTTAAATTTAAGTTTTAAGATAAGAGCAATATATACTATTGAGGGTTGAGATGGTCTTCTCAGCATCATGGGAGTTTAAAAGAGGCAACATGGGCTTGTGGGAAATGCGAATCTGTCTCTCTACCCACACTGTGCCACTAACTGGCTTTGTGGGTCACTTTGTTTCTCTGAACTTCAGTGTTTTGGAAAGTCAGTGATTTGTAGATTTTTAATTTCACTAAGCCAGTAAAATTCAAAAGTAATTTTGAAGATATGTAATTATCTTATCATTTTGAAAGTGTAATTTAAAATAACACTTATTTTAAAGGAAAATGTAATTTAAAATAACTACCAGCTACCATCATCAAAATTTTGTAAAATAAACCATATTTTAACCATAATCCCCAAATTGGAAGGATATAATGTCAGAATGTTGATGCCTTCCTTGACTGAACTTGGATTTTAAGAAAACCTATTCTGTTGGCTCTCTGCTACTTTCTAACTTCACTTGGATCAATGAGAGACTGCACAGCAACAGTTAGCACTTGGGAGCATCAGTAGTGGCTTTTCAAGTCCTTTCCAGGATTAAAATTCCGTCAATTTCTGAACATTGGAGAGAGGAGGTTTTGTGCAGGCTTGTGGCATTACAAATGATTCTGTTTTGGTCCCTGGGTAAACCTTTGTTAGATCATCTTCAGTGCATGGCATACAGGCTACCTTTAATGTGCATTTAAAACTTCTGAATGGCAGGAGGAAGCCTTTGGGACAGGGGAAACCCACCTCTCTACATTGCTTAATGTTACTGTCTTGGAAGAGCCCAGAGACTTTGGCAGTATGTTTCTATAAATCTTAAAAATCGATTAGCTAATCAATATGTCGGGAGGGCTGGTAGATGTGCCCACTTAGGGGACTAAATGCCTCATCCAGCTCAGCCTTTCTCGTTATTGAGACATTGATAAACTGAGGCTATACAGAGGATTATGGAGATAACTATTGTCTCATTTTTTCCCCCTTCCCATCCTTAAAAAAAAAAAACTCATGCATTTAGAGTACAGCTAGGAGTGAGGACTTGAATCGGCACATTTTGAAGGAAGGAAACCATAGATATAAACGTGGAGAAATACTAATGAAAGAACAACTCATTGACTGGGCATCGTAGTGAATAGTGGATCATACAGAATGAGGGAAACTTTGACTCTAAAAATGTAAGTTTCTCACAACAGGGACTGTGATGAGGCCCCTTTCTGCATGTTCAGAGGCAAGCAGAAGAGAGATGGAAGGGTTCAGTTCATCACGGTAAACTGCCTTCCCTAGGGACTTTAGAGTTTCAGTGGTAGCTGTTTACACGACTACAATCTGTTATTCTGTTCTCCTTTGCATTTTGTGCTGGGTCATTTTGGTTGGCCCTTTTCTTCCCCCCATCCCCCCTCCTCTGTGGTTCTCTCTCTTTAAAATTTCATCTTGTAAGTCCAATTTGCTGTCCTTTTGGTGCCAAGGCTCATTCTAATGGTTCAGGTGCCGTTCTCTCTTGCCTACATAGAGGCTAGCTAATTTTATCACAACTATCCATTAAAAGAAATCTATCTTTTACTCACATTCCTTCCTCTAAGTGACCTATGACTGAAGAACACTTGATAGTCAAATCACCATGGCTTCCTCCTGCTTCATTCCATTCTGGACATGCATGTATAAGGGATTGGGAGTAGTTCCCCAGATTTTGCTTTGGACAGTCAATATCTATCCACTAACAAAGATAAAGTAAACAAAAGGCTACCAAAAGGAGAGCAAATTATATTCATGATCCTCTTTAAGAAATCATGGAAATTTAAGTTTTTACAAAAACATTTTTTTTTTTTTTTACTCAATGTAGTAAATAATCTGTAGGTGTCAGTTTTTCCCTTTGACCATGGATTCCCTGAGAGCACAGTAAATGAGCCACATGGACGCTGTTGTGTTGGACTTCTTTCAAAGGGCAGGGCAATGGAGCCAGAGCCATTTTTACTAGAGAAGAATTTGATTATGTGTTGAGACGCAAAGCGTCTGTGTAAGTCCAGCTGGACATTTTCACCAAACTCACCTTTGCTGCCCTTGCCACTTGGTTAAATTGTGTCTGTGTGATCCATTCTATGGGGGGATCATCACCAAAAATAGCTTTTGGAATCATTTAATGACAGAGGTGTGTTGTAGAATATTATTTTAAGATGTGTAATATTTGTTTATGCTGTGGAACATTTGTTTAATGATGCAAAGATGTGCTGCATTCTTTCATGTTGCATTTGTTTAACTCTGTGAAACTGTTACTTTGTCTGTCTAAAACACTGGATTGGTCTAATAAAGAGCTGAATGGCCAATAGCCAGGCAGGAGAAAGGACAGGTGGGGCTGGCAGGCAAAGAGAATAAATAGGAGAAATCTGGGGAGAGGAAGACCGAGGAGCAGAAAAGGAGGAGAGGAAGGTATCAGGGGCCAGCCACCCAGCGACACAGCCAGCCATGGAGTGAGAAGTAAAGAAAGGTATATATAAAAGAGAAAGATAAAAGTCCAGAGGCAAAAGGATAATTTAAGAAAAGATGGATAGAAATAAGTGAAGCTAAGGCCAAGCATCCATAAGAAAGGCTAAGACTATGATTTATTTGGGAGCTGGGTCAGGTCCCCCAAAGAGCCAAAGAGTGAAAACCAACCAGCTATGCAGGTGACCATCTTCTAAGCCTACACTTGATTCTTAGTCATGTTTTCTTGACTTTCAAGTGAGCCTATCACCATTTTAATTTTGGGATTTATTTTTATTTGTAGATTGTATTATGAAAAACATAGGCTAATTTTAATTTCAAGAGAAATAATTGGTTTTTGCACAATGAGGTTTTTTTTTTTTCTTTTTTTTTGAGACAATCCTATTTCTGAATCTTTAGCACATAGAATATTCTGGCACACAAAGTGCTTAGAAGATATTTGTGGAATATAGGATGATTGCTTTTAAATGATGTATTTTTAAAGAGCCCATATTGTGGCCTAGCCTCATAAACTAGTTTTAGAATCTTCTATATGGAAAGAAAGCTTAAAATGGCTCTGGCTGTTTTTTGTTAGTTTGTCTTTTTTTTTCCTTTCCTTTCCCCTACCAATGAAGGCAGAGACATCAGTATTTGCTCCTTTTAAGGCCATACTTGGAGCTTGCTTCTTTGGCTGTCCATTATGCTACATGGGCATTCAGATTTTGGCCAGGCTGGTACACAAGTCTCCATGCACCTTGAGAAATATTTGCTGAAGGTCATCAAATGTATGGAGGTTTGAATTTTAAATATTAGGGGTTTAACTGGCATTGAAAAAAGAGATGGCTAAATGGTAGTGGCTCATGACCTTAATCCCAGCACTTAGGAGGCAGAGGCAGACAAATCTCTGTGAGTTCAAGGCCAGCCTGGTGTAAAATGGGAGTTCCGGGACAGTTAGGGTTGTTACAAGATGATTCTACCTTCCTTTTAAATAAGTAAATTGCATAACAAAATTAATTAATTCCTTCTACTAGTATGTTTTAGACGTGTAAAACTTGTAATTTATGCATGATATTACAGAGCAGCAGAAAGAGGCATCCTGGCAAAGCTCTGCAACATCTGGCTCCCAGCTGGGTAAAGCAGCAGATTGCAGTAGTTCTCAGTTGTATCTGTGCACTGCCATGTCTCATCTTCCAGCTTCTGCTTCTTGGGGAGACTCTTGTTTTATTCTGGTGGTCCTGTGGTGCTGTTGTGGGGTTCCATGTCCCACCTAGACAAGAGTGAACCTGTAATTCCAAATGCTTGATTTAGGCACACCTTGCCCTGGTACCATCATTTAGACTAGAGTGAGGAGCATGATTCAACACCTTTGGGTGGACAATTAGAGGAAAGGCAAGTGACACAGGCAGGTGACCAGACATGTACAGGATGACTTCCCATTCAGTCATGAAACATGGTGCCTTGTCGTCTAGTCAAACTTGAATTGGATTTCTATAATATGCAATGGAAAGCATCCCAATGAATATATTTCCTTTTTTCAACTTTTGGGGTTCATTAGAACTTAAGTTCATAGACTTAAATGCTTACAATTTGAGTGACATACCTGAGTGCAAGACATTCTTAGCCCCGAAGTTCATGTCAAACAAGTCTTTATTTTTCATGGTACAAATTAAAAGTGACAGATCTGAAGCTGTTAAGAAATACACAAAGTGCAGCTTTACCGACCATACAGATATTGCTCTCAATTAAGTACAGTTTTTGTTTTCTTTTTTAAACATTAAGCAACCTGTGCAGAAAAGTCAGCTTTGGTTTCAGTGTTAGAACAAGTAAGGAGCTTTTCAATATCCAGTTTGGCTTCTTGGTCACATGTCTATCATGTCAATGTCTTGTCATGATGAGTTTGTTTGTTTGTTTGTTTGTTTTTCCAGAACAACCCAGTCTTTTCCTGCCCTCTCTCCTGCTGCCTGCTCCAGGCATGGAGAAGCAGATGTCTTTACAGTGCCTCATTAAGTGACCCTGGTGACCAGTCTAGATCACAGCACAGAGGACGAAATAACTAATTAAAAACAAAACTAAAAAACAAAAAATAAAAATCACTTTTCAACAACAAATAAGCCAATGTGCCTCACGTAATTTCAAGTTGAAGACAAGCAAATCACATGACAAAAAAGCTCATTACAAAATATTATCCAGATTTTTTTTTTTTACAGTCAGACATGGAAATGAAAATCAATTTCCTTTTTCTCCATTGTTTTTATGCTTGATCATTAACTGGGTACAAGTAGAGTGCTGAGGTAAAACATTGATGAACAGTTTGTGATTTTTTTTTCTTAAAATAGGAACAGTTTAGTATTGCAAGATTGTCAGCAACATTTAGCCATATCTACACAATGTGCATATACCTACACATACTGAGCTTTGGTCCAGCGTAGAGAAGAGAGCAAAGGCAATTGGATTTCTTTTTGGTTACAGCTTGAGTTCTTTGACACGCCTCTACTTGGTTTGTTCTGCTTCCCCCAGCTCCTTCCGCTTTTGTGTTCTCTTTTATGGTGTGGTGTGTGTGTGTGCAACTGTGTGATCACGACAATAAAGAGTCCAGAACTTGCAAAGGCAAGTGAAACTTTTAACTACTCAACATATCTTCTTGGTTGGAAGAGAAAACAACCCCCACAAGCAAGTGTAAAGTACAGCATCGGCTGTCATTTCTCATCACTGATGAAGAAAACGAAGATGACAACAATTTTTAAAATGTGTGAGAAAGAGTACAGAAGCTTGAAAGACAACGCATACACCCAAAGTGGCTTTTACTTTTTGTTGGTGGCAACCTTAACCTTAACCTTCAGTTCATGGAAACATGAAAGACACTTAGATGTTTTTGGCATATGAAGTTGTTTACCAGAGGAAATAAGAAACGTCTAATAAAATTAAGCAGTAGGGTGTGGTCCTGAAGGCTTGTGTGTTCCCAAGTACAGTTTATATTCCTAAGAATCTGTTCAGGCATCTTTTTTGCCTTGTAGCAAAAAATTCATCAGTAAAAAAATCAATATAAGAAGCATTACAACACTATATAAATAATTTATAAAACAATACAAAATTATAAAACTATAAAAAAATCACTGCACATGAATAGTTTTACAACCATGGGATGAATTCATGTCTTTTTTATTCTACTCTGGGTGATTATTTTTATTTTATATTTTCATTATTCTACTTATGCTCTCCCAATTATAGATCTCAGAACTTAGTAGGCCTCAAGTGCCTGCTGCTGGCTCAGATTTAAATATCTAGCTTCCGTCATATGTTATCTTGTTAACTTCTCTTCCTGGGGAGCTTTTCTTGATGGAATTTGGAGCAGGTCCTAGGAGAATACAAAATCTGTTTTAATCAATAAAGTTTTCGGTGTCTGGGTTGCTGGTATCTGTGCAGTTTTTGAAGTGGTGAAATGCTACCATGATGTTGTTGGCACTGATCGGGCTGATTGTGGTCCAATTAACATCAGACTGGTGTCATGGAAACACTTTTATTAATGACTCTCTCACTTCCAGAATTATTGTTACTTAGTTTCCTTGTTGGGACTTTTTATGATTGCTGATTGAACCAGTTGAGGGGACTATTACATTGCCCTATTTTCATAACCAGCAAAGGAGCCAACACAACAGCAACAACAACAACAACAACAACAAAAACAGAAGCCCTGGGTGGGAGAAGGAGATGGCCTTTGTAATCAACTAGGCAATGTGAGTGAGGTGTGGTTTCTCTTTACCTCTCATGATTTGCCCCTAGGCAGTAAATGAACATGCTTTTTAATTACTCAGGAATATTTACATTTTGACAACAGGAGATTGATGATTCTCTTTTGCTTCCTTTAATAGAACCCTCTACCTTTATCTGGGTGAAAACATTTGCAGGTTCCAGGAATTCCCTTGCCCTTCCATCCTCCCTCTTAGCCCATTCTGTGGACTTTTTGGGTCTCGTGGCCCATGCCTTGGGGAAGCTCTTTTAAAAACGAATTAATATGCTGGTTCTAACAGTGAAGGCTTTTCTGATATGTTTTATGAGATGCTTCTGTATAGTTTTTCTTTTCTTGGAGAAACTTGGTTGCTAAAACTTCTTTTCTAGTCAAGAAGTCAGAGCCCAATTCCAATTGCTTAAATTTGCCTGTCACATTTCTGCCCCATTTATATATTCCAAGAACAGGTGTATCCCAGCTCCAAATGTCTGCCAACACTGACTGCTGAAGGAAGTCACAGACAAGGTGAGGCTAACAGGATATTTGGCAGCCTCTAACAATCTAGGTCACCGTCATTTTCTTTGTGGCCTGTCTCTTTGTGTGAGGTGGATGGATATGAACATGCTTGTGTGTGTGTGCGCGCTGACTGAAACCTTGAGACATTTCTTTGGCTATCAGACTTCTGAGAGAAATTGCTTTGAACAGAAGCAAAACACGAATGTAAGTAATGAACCATATGTGCAGCTTATGTTTATATTACAGAATTAGTTTTGATCAGCTCTCCACACGTGTGGCTAGTAGACTGAGAAAAATCCCAATCTCTGGTTTAGACCGTGAGCACAATTATAGCCTCTGCTGGTGTTGACAGTCACCCAGCAAAGCCCTAATTATTCTGGAGTCCTTCCTGCATCTCTGCAGGATCAGAGTGGAAAATGCACTGTTTCTTCCCACTTCTGCTACCTTCCAGAAGATTCCGGGAGCCACATGAGAGGGAGGTGGAGAAACCGGCAAGAAAGGGAGGTGTGAGCTCCGTTTTCTTTCTCAAACCTACAACTCCTAGTGAGAAGAAAGCCACGAATGCTTTGGCACACAATCCAGGTTGCTCCCCCTCCTACACACACACCTAAAACAAAACAAAACAACAATAGGAAATAACACAATTCAGGGGTGGAAAAAAAAAAAAAAACTACTTCTGCTAAGAAGCAAATTGACAGAGAGTGAGCCATACAGAATGATTCCAACGATGGCACCCACCCTGGTGGCAGAGACAAGTGAGAAAGGTGGGAGAAAGCAGGCGTCCTACTTTTCTGTTGGTACAAATGTAAAAACTGATAACAACTTTCCACGCAGAGGCGAGTAGACGAGCAACAGCATTTGCAGTGTTTCCGACTTTGGTTAATAGGTTTTGCAGTGATCAGCACTTAGGCCCTGAAGGGATGCAGACACTCCTCCAGGTGGCAGGCTTGCATTCGCTTTGAACAGATACAAGTTTGTGGTGGTGGTTTTTTTGTTTTGTTTTTTTGGCTTAGTTTTTTTCTTTTTCCTTAAAAGGTGTTCACATTTTCATCATATACAGAAAAAAGTAAGTGGATATTTGGTTTGCTTTAAAAAACTGGCTTTAGGGAGACAAGTTGGGGAGGGAACAATCCATACTCCTTCCGTGGGGTGTATTTCTTGTTTAAAAATGTAAAATTTCCTTTTCTTTTTCCTTTTGGAAAACCAACGGACATGTATAAACCATTCTGCCCATTTGGTAGTTTTGTTTTTTTTTTTTTCCTTTCTTTTTTTTCTTTTTTAGTCTTTTACATACAAGGGAGATGATGATTGAGGGTGTCTTTAAAGCCTTTCTTCTTCCTTCCTTCCTTCCTTCCTTTCTTTTTTGTGGAGATTCAGGGTAGTGTTTAGATTCTGTGGCGCTTCCTTCTGACCACGGGTGGGTGTGTCTAGCAGTTTTCCTCCGGAGAGTCCGCTAAGGGCTCCAGGGGGACCGCCGAAGTGGGCTCGTGTTGTTTTAAGCGCTTAATTGTGTTCTTCAGAGCTTGTCTCTTGTTGCAGAACCAAACTCTAACTACTTCCCGGTCATAGTTAAGCTTCTCAGCAATCTCGGTCATTTCCTGCCCTGAGGGGTGTGTGTTCTTCTCAAAGTGGGCATTGAGGATCTCAAGGGCCTGGGGTGTGAAGGAGGTGCGCCGCTTGCGCTTTTTGGATGGCTCACTCCCAATAAACTCCGTGAGGTTCTGCATACCTGCTCGATGGCGGGCCTCAGCCTCAGCCATCCACCGCTCAAGCACCGGCTTGATCTTCTGGGCACTTTTAGGGGTGATGTCCAGCTTTTCAAACCTGGCAGGATACAAAAGGCCAGGGTTCAGTTTGGCTGTCAGACTGCTAGCTATAGTGTTCTCTTGGGCTTCCTGTGGTAGGAAAAAGTGGCTTCTCAGGATGGTGTGTCTGGGGGGAGAATTGAGAAAGAACAGTCTTACACTGAGTCCTCTGCCAGGGTGGGCCTCCTGCCTGCCTGCCTGATTGCCTGGCAGGGTGAATTCACTCCAGATTAGCAGCCAGCTGCAAGGTAGCCAGCCCTGTCCCCGCCAGCACCCCCCCTCCAGTCGAGCTCCATGCCAGCCATGCAGAACCCCAAGCACACGGACAGGGGAGGGGAAAAAGCACCCGCATACGCTATGGAAACACAAGCAACTCGCAAAGCCTTTTCTCTCGAAACTCTGAGACCTAAGCTGCCTTTTCAGCTGTTTCCAGCTTCATTTCCCCAACTCTGAGAATTCTTAAGGCAGAAATTAACCAAGAAAGTGACATTCAAGATAACAGTTGTATCATATCCTTTCACTTAAAATGATCATGTTTTACATTTGGTTTTCCTCTCTATTGTGTTGGTTTTGAAAAACATTACAGCTATTATCATAGTCTGGTATGGCTACTGGGCCAAGCTCCTCTTCATGCTTCTTTTTTTCTCCCCTTGTGTCTTATTTTAACTTCTTTCTCTCTGGTAACAATTTTCCCCATATGTAACTTAACTACATGCCTCCCTGTCCAGGTAAAATACAGACCAATTGTTACTTTCCAGTTCTGGCCTAAACAGCTGGATACATTGTAATTACTATGGAATGCCCCACCCCTGGGTGGGCTTAGGCCACCTCATGCCTTCCAATCACCATCCAGTGTAATGGTGCACTTTTGTACCAGGGCATCATGCTGTGTTTAATGTGGGATATCTGCAAACTGTACTTGAATGATATCATTTTCTGTAAATGAGGTCTTCTATGTATCAATTGCCATCAGCAATTCTTTGCTACATTTACTTTAAAAAAATATGAAGCATCCTGGACAAAATTATATAGAGTGTTTTAAAAAGTCCTTCTGGTACTAAATTCATACTGTCAGTGAAATACAAAAGGGGACCAGTTCCTTTTGTTCATTTACTTCTTTATTCTAAGTCCAAATTCATGTCCCTCCTATTGACACTGGTGGGCACAGACCTTCTCTTTTTAAAGGTGTTCCATGTTGTTGAGAAGCAATCATCTGGTGTGTCTGACGATGCTTGCAAAAGGAGAGACCAGGATGGCCTTCCTCTGTGCCAGGATCTGAGTGGGTGGAGTGTGTCCTTAGATCCCTTTGTTGAGATGAGCAGTACAAACTCTATGAAGGGTTTAACTCCTTGGCACTCCTTTCCACGCAAAGTTCGAGAAGGCCTTTGTTTATTCCAGTACTTACTAAGGAAGGAAGAAGCTCACCTGCCCTCAGAGCAAGGTGAACCAATCACTTAGTATTATTAATGAGTTTGTCATCTGTGGCAGGCTCCCCAAAGCCACCATTGGGACAAACTTGCCACCTTCTGCATTTTGCCACCCTTCATCATAAAAACCTGGGCCTTGAACTCTTGATAGCGTCACAACTGGCCTCACAGGGCTGTGGCACCAAGGGACAGAGCTTGTGAAAGGGATGTCTGGTATATCGGTTTCATCTTCCTTTTGTGCCTCTGATAAGAAGGCTTGCACAGCACCTCGGAGTCACTGCAGTCAATTAGCACAGAGTGACATCTCAGTGTGCAGACACTGATACACAGTTTTCTAACTCTTTGAGTTCACTGAGAACATTCCAATGTAAAGTCTTGAGACTTAGCACTTAAAATTTGGATAAACACCTTCTAAAAAGCATCACAAAAAGCATCACTGGAACACTGGAAACTGGATAAAGCCCCGAAGTCTGGGGGTCTGCTCTGTTAAACGATAATAACATTTCCAGAAGTCTGCATGCTACAGTATTTTTGGCTTCCCTCTGGGGAAGACTTAACAAATCAGCATATCTGATTGGGGATGCCCAGAAATCCGTGTGTGTGTGTGTGTGTGTGTGTGTGTGTGTGTGTGTATGAGTTGAAACATTAGAGAGTACTTCAGTCAATAAAAGAAAATCACATTTTTAGAGCTAAAATAAGCCAAAGAGGAATTTAGCAACAATGGCAAATTGGCATCAAAGTAAAAACCTGTGGCTGCCTTGATCACAAGGCACGGGGACCAAACAAAATTAATGTCTCCCGACAGAGAGAGACAGTATTCCCGTCATTGATGCTGCTTGTTAGCGTCGATGCTTCTGTACATGTTGTTGGGAATAACATATACAAGCCTTGATATAAATTTCCCAGCAGTGGTATCCTTGTATAGACTGAATAAAGGTTATTTTCTACAGGGAGGTATCTTATAAGAAAAAACAGTAGGGGAGACCATACAAGTGAAAGGATCCTATGGTGCTTTTTGTATTTAACAACAATCAATGGGTTTTATGGAAAATCATTGAGCAAAATGTGAGCTGCAAGCTACCACCCCATACTGATGTTATTTATAACCTTAGTCTTAAACTGCAGGAAAAGTACACTTCTGTCCTTTGGGGAATACATTAAAAGTATAAAGAGCAGATAAAAAGACAGCATTTCATGGATCACCAAGAACAAAATCCACTTAAATGAGTTTAGAGTTGGTTTCTTGGCCGTTCCTGATGGAGGAGGCCTCCTAAGGCATTGCCCAAGAGGAAACAGCTCCTACCGAGTGCCTTCGCTACCTCATGCATAAACATGGGATTAGTGCAACACACATGCATGCGTGGGGGCTGCTCCTGGAGACTTAACCCGGATCAACTCAGACACAACCAAGGCTGGATTCAGTCATTTCTTTAATGTGGTGGGAGGGTGTGGGTACAGTTAGGCCAGATTCACTACCGTTTGTAAGACATTTAAAACAGGTCTTTTCATTATTTCTTTTCCTTTTTTTTTCTTTCTTCTACCTTCCTTCTTTTCTGCTTATAAAGCTGTGTCTGGGCAGGCAAATTAAGATAAACGTCTCCCAGAAAATCGAGAAATTGGTTAAAATGTGTGTTTCATGGGAAACCTTGGAGCCATCTCTGGGTAGTTAACAGTAGGATAGACTAGCAACTCTGCTTTTCCTCAGGATGCCCACTGTGTGGACAGGAGTTGGCATTCTCATCTGGGAGGGGCACAGAGGAGAAGGGAGATCCCTGCCCAGGGCAGCACATTTCAAACTGTCAGCCTTGGAAGATCTTGGAGTTGATAGGAGTTAGGAGGCCAGAACCCCTCAACTCTGCGTTGACACCCCATTTCCATCAACGTCACCAGTCCCAACACACAACTACCCCAGTCTTAACACCATGCTCTGTTCCTCCAGTTTGCCCACCCAAAGAAGAAGAGCTGAGCTGTAAGAACAAGCAAGGCCCGGGCTGGCCAGTGACAGCATGCAGAGCCCGTTACCTGCAGATGGCTGACTGGCTGTATGCGGGGCCCTCTGTGGCACTGAGGGCTTGTCCCACCTGAGTCTGCGTCAGGCCAAGGGACAGGCGCCGGATTTTAAAAGCTTTGGCAAATTCTCGAATCTCCTCCAGATTAACCCCGTCCACCTCACCCGCTGCGGTTTGAGGATCTGTGGAGATGTTTTTAAAATAGGATCAACATGTCAACACACAGCCCGTCAGTATGCTTATCACTGAGCAGCCATAGAGTGATGGAGAAACCATCAGGGTACCTTCTTCGGCTCTCATCCTTCCTCCTTCACAAGCCATCCTTCAAGGACCTTCTGTCCCAGATAAAGCCATTCCCATTTACCCTGCCACTTCCCAGAGCAAGAGCACACGTCTTTCGGGCTTAACAACAGCAGCCAGCCAGGGGAGGCTCTCGCTGGAGGGATTCAGCCCCACCTTGTCTGTAAGCTCATTCATACGCTATGCAAAAAACATAAACACAAGGAGGTTTCTGTTTGAATCGTCTTAGTTGGAATTCTCCATGCTATCAATGGCCCATGAAGGAAACGGCACTTTGCGTTTTTCTTTTCACCTGATTGCCACGTAGCCAGGCTAATAGATGGTAATCTCGCCTCATTTCTTATGTTCGCATTACCCCTCAGAAGAGCATGGTTATGAAGCTGCGAGAGTAATATTGTCTTTTTTCCCCCCATAGCGGTTTACCCTCACAGCTGCCTTTGTCTCCTGAAAGGGCACATAATAAAAACTGCCTACCACAGGAAGGCTCCTTTGGTGCCGGATAACGCGGTCAATTTAGGACTTATCAAGGGAAATGACACAACAGCTGGAGAATGAAACTTTCTCCCCCCTGGCTACTGATCCCTGGATAAATGAAAGCGTTCACCAAGCCGGAGCCAGCATGGGCCGGGCCTGGTGGGAGATTTCAGTGCAGCTCAGGGCTGCCTGTAGCGAAGCTGGTCCTGAGGCAAGGCATCTCTATTGTTCTTCACCTCACTCTTCTGACTTCAGCTGAAAGTTGCTCTTCCTCTCTCTGCACAGCAACCCATCAATTTCTGTGAATTTCTGCTCTTGTCCCAGGACTGTGGTAGACTATGATACTCTTCTGGCCTCTCAGCATTATGTGCTCTCTGGCTGTTACTAAAGGATGTTTGCCTCCTACGGGACAATTTTTAAAATGCTTTTAAATAAGGAAGATGGTATCTGTGTGTCTGTTAGGGAAGGGCCTAGAGTGCTGTGTGTGTGTGTGTGTGTGTGTGTGTGTGTGTGTGTAGCTTCTCTCAGGACGGGGTGGGGTGGGGTGAGTCATCCCCCCAGGCTGTGGAACATGCACTGTTAATCGAAGGAATAATACAGGTATACATTACACATTTATCTTCACATTAAAAATAAACCACTGGCCAGGTATGTGTGGTGCTGAAGCAAGAGGAGCCTTGAACCCCAGCCCAAGGCCAAACAGGGCAACTCAGAAAGATTATTTGGGAAATCCTTAGAATTTTCACAGCACTAATACTTAATTATGGAGAGATTAAAGTATGGCTTGGCCACTGCAGTCAGTTTGTAAGTGGTTTTAAGTGACTCCTCGTTTCTGAGTGGAGTGGGGAGGCGGGGTACTTATAGTTTATTTGGGCTTAGGTCCAATCCTAATACATGAAAAACCTACAGGAAAATGACGGGAAATAGTCAAGAACTGGTGGTGGGAGCATCACTGAGGTCACTGAGGTCACAAAACACTCTTAAGGGCAGGTCCCACGCTCAGCAGTAGATGGCCGACATGAAACAAAGTCAGTCGAATTTTGGAAGGTTTTTTTTTTTTTTTTTAACCTTACAGGTCTTTTGTATATATGTTATGATTTATGATTTTTGTGTTCCCATGGGATTTCTCTGTGTGTGAATGTGTGTGTTTCTGTGTCTCTATGCATTTTTTTTGGTGTGTGATTTCTGTTTGACTCCTTTGCATCTGTTTGCTTTGTCCTATTCTGGTTTGTTCATTTTCATTTGGTCATTGTTTTGTGGCTGCCTGTTTGTTTTCTAATAAGGGAGAGAAAGAAACGGTGTGGATTTGGGTGGGAGGGGAGGGGGGGGGAATCTAGGAGCGGTTGGGGGAGGGGAAACCACAATCAGAATATACTATCTGGAAAAAATTATTTTCAATTAAAAAAAAGGAAAAGAAAATACAACAAAACAAAACAAAAAGCTGGTAGCGTGATTCAAACCCAGGTATGCTGAGGAGGGAAGAGGGGCAGGAGGGGTCATCTTCTCAGAGGATTAAGGGCTTTGGAAGGGACACACAGGCTGGAGAAGGAACTCCTCCAAGTGGAGAACATCTCAGGGTAGCAGCCTGCATGTGTGGCAGGGCTTGGTGGGGTGTTTATAAAGTTGGTTTGGATATGATGAATTAAGATCCATCTTACCCTGTCTCCCTGCCCCCCTCCACCATTTCCTTCTAGAAATCTGACATTCAGTTAATGAAAGACTTTGGAGTGTGTTGTGGTGGAGACTGTCCTCTGAATTTTAAATCCCACCGGCACAGTTGTGTGGAGAGGTTCTTGGGGTTCACAAAGGATTCTGGAGACCACATCTGCGCACATGGCTGCCTCTAGCTCTTGCTTTATTTCCTCATTAAAACAATCCCAGAATCAGGAGCTGCAAATGAGTAGTGCAGAAGGCTTACACATATTTTGAATTACCTGCCAACAACATAAAAAGGGATTTTAAAGGAAAAGCAAGACTGTGATGTTCTTTCCGGTACAGAGGACCTACGTTTTCGGTACTTGTGTCCAGTCACCTGGAACTGATTCTCACTGCCGCCTCTCAGCCCTCTTCTCCAGCTGCCCTCACATTTGTTGCCTGGCCAAGATGAACTGCGAGCCTGACTTTAGACTGGGCATTCTTGCTGCTTGGTTCTGGGGCTTAAGCAGGAAATACTAGGTGACACAGTGGTTGTCATTACCAAAGGCCACAGTACATGAACAGGACAGATTTACAGCATATCTATGTTAAAATACAAACAACAGAAGAACTTCATGGTGGGAAGAAGAATTATTAGGATTAAGAAAACGTTTAAAAAGTCTACTTGCAAGACGCAAAAAAAAAAATCAGTAGCTGAGGAATACTGAATTAGCAGAGATGGGCATTGGCTGGTAAAGAATGGTACAGTGAAAGGAAAGATTGGTCCAGTCTCTTCCAGAGATGGGGAAGTGTTGGGCAGCCTTGCAAGTAACACAAGACACTCAAAACTCAAAATTTAAAAAATAAAAAAGAAGCCAGAGACTTTCTTTGTACAGACACGGCTTTTAGAACGGTGCTTTTCTTAATTTGACAGGCTTGAGTCACGGGGGGCCGGGGGAGGTCACAGTGGCACATTTTCCAGGTGGTACAGGTGTTCTGATGCAGGGGGATCTGCCTGCTCCTGCATGCGTCTGTCTCCACCTTTTTCTTCCAGCTTTCCTGAGCTAGGGTGTGGCATCCTCTTTGTGCGCCTGTTTTCCTGAACCCATTCATGCTCTCATCCAGCAGGTTTCATGGAACAGAAAACCTGCTTGCTCAAAAGACTATGAGGTAGACAGGCCTGGTGAGCAGGGGCTCCGGAGAGGGTCTCCCACCTTTCCCTTTCCCCACTCTTCTGCACTGCATAGGAGAGCAGCAAAGCTGTGTGAGTCTGGGGTGGGAAGGCCGGTGCGGTCTGTGATTGGGGAGAAAGTTTTCTTTTCCTTTTTTTTTTTTTTTTTTTTTTTTGGTTTTTCGAGACAGGGTTTCTCTGTGTAGCTTTGCGCCTCTCCTGGAACTCACTTGGTAGCCCAGGCTGGCCTCGAACTCACAAAGATCCGCCTGGCTCTGCCTCCCGAGTGCTGGGATTAAAGGCGTGCGCCACCACCGCCCGGCGGGGGAGAAAGTTTTCTGTGGGAAATAACCCTTTGGTTTTTGCTAGTCCCATCTCTAGATTAACCAAAACCAGTGGAGTTAACCAGTGCAGGAAGGACTGGTCTTTATGGAAGGCCTTCAACAGTCTACGTAGCTACCTATGCTGCCAGCACACAGCAGTGCAGTGTGGGAGAGTTTAGGATGTGGGCAGCAATTTTTGGTAAATGTGCCCTCTCATCTTTTTTCTCGTCTATCACCTCTCCTTGCTAATTCCTGAGGCTTGGAACTAAACCTGCTCAACCTGTTCACATGATCATGAAGTTTTGTTTTGTTTTGTTTTTTAACTGTATCACTGACAATAATCAGAGTTGAAAAGAACACTTTGGATGCTGAGATCCTGTGTGCTGAGGAGTGCTGATGTTGATGCTCAGATGTCCACTGCAGAGTTCAGAGAAGTGAGTCCCAGGCATACATCCAATGTCTTTCATGAGGCTCTAATGAGCATGGTTCAAGTTTTATATAAGAAGGTGGTAAGGAGAAGTGTGTGTGTGTGTGTGTGTGTGTGTGTGTGTGTGTGTGTGCGCGCGCGCGCTCTTGCAAATCACAGCAATGTTTTCTGCTACCCAAGTACTGGATTTATTGGTGTGACCCACTACACCTAGGGATAAGAAGAAATTTTTTTTTTTTTAAATTTACACAGGGTGATGGTCTCGACCAAGGCCTGGAAGGAGAACTCAGCATCTTTGTGCAATTTCCTGATTGACAAAAAGATATGAGTCACTTGGCTTTCTTTATATTAGTGTTCTTACTCATAAAGTTTGGCTATCAAAATGCACTGCATGGTTTGCCTCCACAGAAGTCTCCCCATCCAAAGAAGGAGCCATCTTTGGACATCTGTTAACTTTATCTTGACTATATATCCCGTAGGACGGGTCTACAGGCATGGGGAGGATACTTGCGGTGTTTTTTAGGTGTTTGTAACTACTCCAATGACTATGCTACTGTTTTTGTGCCTCAAAGTTTCTCTCACACTGTCTGGTTGTTGTGCTGTTGCAACAGTTCTCCTTTGTTAAGGGGTATGTATTTTTCTACCTGAGAAAAAGATGCACATGGTGGATGGAGGCTTCCGTGGGGTACCACTTTATCCCTCAGCCTACCTCAGAGTGTAACCTTCCACAGTGGGAAAGATAACCCGCCTTCCATTCTCTTGCTTCTGGGGGAAGTTAGTTTTGAAGATGATCTCAAGTCAGCTTAATTGGGACCACGAGAGGAATATTTAGGGCTTTCTCAAAGTAGATCCAGCAACCTACCCAGAAACCTAGGGTAGAGTTTCTCTGAATAGAGGAAGAAGTAGTGGTCCTTTTGTAGAAGTTGTCCAACCTGTGTAAATAGCAGGTGGGCATGGGGTACTGCCTGTAATTCTAGAACTGAATGAATGAATGCAAAGATTGGCAGAGATGGGCTTCCCAGAGCAAGCCAGCCACTAAGACTGGCCATGGCTTTGATTGAGAGATGCCACCTTCCTGAGTAAGGTGGAAGATTTATCAAGGAAGATCCTGAACATCATCCTGGGGTCTTCACACTAACACACACACACACACACACACACACACACACACACACACACACACTCTCACATGCATGTGTACACACACATGCACCCATATACAAGTGAACACATGTATACAAACCACATACACATGAAAAAATGAAAAGAAGAACAAGCCTAGCTAATTAAAATTGTCTGTCTGTGAGAGCTGTGGAAACTGAGCAAGGTTAAGGGAAGGGTGTCAGGGCTACAAAGTGCTCACAAGAATGCTTATTTGGTTACTCTGAGCTCAGATGTGGAGTTCATCACACATGAAGTTCGTTTGATCACTACAAGGGATTAGCTTGGTTCTCCTTTACCTGGAGTGAGCAAGATATTTTAATACTATTTTTTAATCTATGGAAGGTTGGACAACACCTTCTTTTACAGTGATGTGGAAGAATCAGTAACTGTAATTCTGATCAAAGTTTGTGTGATACTGTCATATAAGAATTATATTCTTGGTCTTTGTGCCTTGTGCTAGACCATAGCTCTCAAAACTCTTACAGTGTCCTAAGTCATTATAGGAATGCTATGATCCTCATTGCTTCCCAACACAGATCTTCTAAACTCCTTGGAATTTCTTGGATGATAGAAACATATTTTTGTCCTCATTAGGTGACTATTAGTTGGCTCCTGGATAGCTTCAAGAAGAGGTTGGTCATTAGAAAAACAATATGATAAAATCCAGGGGGAGAGGGCCTGGAGACTGAGTTAATAATCAACTATGTCTATATGATCAAAACTTCCACAAAGATCCCCGAACTATAGGGTTGAAAGAGCCTCTGGGCTGGTGAGCGCACACACACACACACACACACACACACACACACACACACACACACACACATGACCTGGCCTGACTCCACAGGGTCAGAAGTTCCTGCACTCAGGTCTTTTCAGACTTGCACCTGTGCACCTCTTGCTGTGTGCAAAGGTGCTGATAAGACTGTATCCTTTATCATGTGCTTGATAACACACCAGTAAACATGTTTCCCTGAAACAAGCCATTATAGCAAATTACTGAACTCAAAGGGATATGGTCTATAAATATTTATCATACATTTTTTTTGTGGTTGGGTTTTGACACAGAAGAGAAATAACTAACTAACATGCCCCCAACCTATAATGGTTGTCAGTTCGCATTGGGTTTGTGCAGTCTGATGTTCACTGGTGCCATTAGATCCTCTTATGCAAAGAGGATCTACAGTTGGTATGGACTCCTTCCTGCTCAGGCTCTGCATATGGATGCCACGTCTTGCACTCCAAATGCACATGATAGAGCAGTTTCCCTCTCCCAACTCTTTATTTTGATGATTACTCATCATATACTTAGAGGTTGAATAACCTGTTGGCCACTAGGTAATTAAAATTCCATCTGGCCTGTTAAGTAGTCTCCTCTACAGATTTCTGAAGGTTAATCCTTCCTTGTTCAGCCGTGCCAAGTGGCCAGAGACATCCCATGCCCACCCATCTGTCCCTCAAGCAGCCTTCTCCCTGTCCACCTACCATGTTGAGTATAACACATGTGTAAGACTCTGCATTAGTGGAGTGGTTTGTACTTTTACATCTCATGTATTTTCCCCCCTGTATTTTCCTATGATTCCTTTGTTTTCAGGACCAAGCTTACCCTACACTCTAATAGATATATGGGCTCCTTCCTGGTCAGGCTCTGCATATGAATGCCATGTCTTCTGCTTCAAATGCATGTGATAAAGGAGTCTCTCTCTCTCTCTCTCTCTCTCTCTCTCTCTCTCTCTCTCTCTCTCTGTATCTATCTATCTGTCTATCTATCTATCTATCTATCTATCTATCTATCTATCTATCTATCATCTATCTAAAATTGCCATTTAAAATGGGTATTTTGTAAACACACAGGAAATTGAATTCAAGTAGATTTTGAATCTTTTCCTACAATAACCATATGAGGTATTTCTTTGTAGAAAATATGAAGATACAACAAGATTAATTTTGTCTATGATATTATTTATCTGGGACAAAGGTTTTTAGCCAAATAGAGTTGTGAGTTTAGACAGAAGACTAAAGAGAAAACTCTATATGTGCCCCTCCCCCGCATTGGTTCGTGTTGAGCCACATTCAAAACTGAGTGTCCAGAGTCCAAGAGTGCACTGAAGGACCTGGACACTGTAGCACTTCCCATAGTGCTTCATTTTCTTCCCCACCCACAGTGTCTTTTTAGTCTAAATTACCTATGTTGTTGAACAAGTGTGTTTTATTTTCCTTTGGGGAGTGTCACTTTGTCTTACCAGATTTGCCCATTCTTTGTGAAGATCTTCATGCCTTCACTTTAATAGGCCCATTTCTTTATCTCCACTGACACAGGCATCCTTAATTTATGGCACAGGTGCCTATGCAGTAACTTGGTCTTTTAAACCCATGACTATTGGAATCTTGATACCTGCTGAATTGCAATCTCTATCATCTATCTATCTATCTATCTATCTATCTATCTATCTATCTATCTATCTATCTATCTATCTATCTGTCTATCTAGTCTTATTTTATATGAGCATTTAGTAAAAGTTATACAGAGGTAAGTAAATGATATTTAATTGTCCCATGCACCTTCATATACTTTTGTTTGCATGTGACAAACATGCTGGCTTCCCTAGGGACATATGCTGACTCCACAACACCATATAGACTATCATAACCATTTTCCTATGGAGGCAGCCTTCAGGCTTGTTTTATTTTGTGAATGGTTGTTTGGAGATTTCCATCTGATTCCAGCCCACGCAGCGGCCTCCATGTGTCACTGAAGGTGGCTTATTGTTCACTCACACACCCACCCACAGGCATGCTCTCCTTTATTTCCTCTGACACCTACAGACAGAATGGCAGGGGACTTCAAACACACAGGAAAGCAGCTTGACCCTCCAGCTGAGCGCCTGTTGTTGGTTATTTCAGCTCAGAGCTGTTTGCTCATGCCCTGCAAGCTGATGAGTCTCTAGCTTTGGAAGTGGCAGGTCTGTCTGACTCAGCACACCAGAATCCCCTGAAAATGGAGCCTGCTCCCAGCTTGCACTGATACAGGGATGTGCTGTGGGAGCCAGCTGCCCTAAGGAGTCATATGGCCTTGGACACAGACATCATTCCAATGAGAGAGACAGAGAGACAGAGAGAGAGGAGAGAGAGGAGAGAGAGAGAGAGGAGAGAGGGGAGAGAGAGAGAGAGA